GCGGAGACGGAGGAGGCGAAATACCCGCCGATAACAGTGGAGGAGTGGATGTTGGCGCGATATGCGGACACATACGGGGGCGGGCAAAAGGGAGCAGGTGAGCTGTCGCAGGATGCAGTCCGCGCGAGCAGCTGATTGGAGCGTTTCAAGTTAGCAACCGACCAGGCAGTGGGCAAGCAAGTCATGTGGCTGGCATGTGGATTCTTGTTGATGACACCAAAGTTGGATCAGGTTCTCAACCCGGGGAACACGGAGCACCCAGATTCTCACATGTGAGAGTGGAGCCGCAGAGAATATAGAAAGGGTGGCCATTATGAATCTCATGGAAGGGGCATATGGACAGCACATGTGAAGTATAATGCAACGCCATTCTGACGACCCAGAACAATCAAGCATTCCGTCTCACCGCATTAGAAGGCTGGTGAAGAAAGTCCATCTCATCTAGCGGATATGACGGCATTAGTAGTACACGGCTAAAGCACGCGGCTGAGACATCAAGCCAAGAATACTTGAAATATGTAGAGGCAGTTACCTGGCAGTTTTTGTCCATCGAAGAGATTCTATCCCATCCCGGGTTATTTTCTGACTGTGCATGTTAAGTCGGGTCGGGATGAGTTAGGTATCAGATATCAGATCGCCAGGGATGCCCGAGGATCCAGGCAGGGAAAGAGAAAGATAAGATGATTCCGGCAGGCAAAATTACCGGGGAACCCCGAAACGTGTCAGCCGAGCGGCAGAACAAGTCAGGCGGCAGGCGGTCAGTCGGTCACCGGGAATTGGCCACTCAGGCATCGAGGCTAATACCCCTAGGGAGCCTCGGCTATTACTCAAATGGGCAGGTCCAGTGCCCATCGACGGGAGTTCTCGACCGAAATCATCATTTCGGCTTCCCTGTGGAGGATCTCTTATAACGTCTTTCACGCCCCCCAAACAGTTTACCCTTCCTCCCTTCTTTCTCCCACGTTCTCCTCCCCCGCAGACTCCACTCTATCATTACTACTATCATCATGCCATCTTCACCACCGGATTGGGTCAAGGCTTTGAAGCCGGCCGACCCGCAGGGCTCGCAGCTTCTACAGCACGAGCGCGATCAGTCCAATGTCGCTGTGGACAAATTGGCTGAACTGCTGCACACCAAGGAGGCATTGGCTCGTCAAGAACACCTGCTCTCTATCCTGCAGGCGGAGAAAGTTTTCGACAAGTCACAGAATCATACGCAGGGCCGGACGGAGCGGATCCAGCGGTCCCTAGCCAAAGCCAAGCGCCTGCAGCAGTTGTCGGTGGAACACAAATGGTCGCAGGAGGAGCTACACGCTGCCAATGAATTGCTTGGAGAGCCCACTCCTTATGGATTGCATGCATCCATGTTTTTGGTATGTTCCGTTTTCGTTTCGCTGTCTCGCGCTACTCTATTCAGAAGCTAATGAAGACTGCGGATAGGTCACCTTGCGGGAACAAGGTACCCCCGAGCAACACAAACTCTTCCTCGAGCCGGCACAGAACTATCAAATACTGGGATGCTATGCACAGACGGAGTTGGGCCACGGCTCGAATGTGCGTGGACTGGAGACCACAGCCACCTGGAACCCCGAGGATAAGACCTTCACTATCCACTCTCCCACTTTGACGGCTTCCAAGTGGTGGATCGGATCGCTGGGTCGCACTGCCAACCACGCTGTGGTCATGGCGCAGCTGTTCATCGGCGGCAAGAACTACGGCCCGCATCCATTTGTGGTCCAGATCCGTGACATGAACACACATCAGCCCTTGGAGAACGTCTACGTGGGAGACATTGGTCCCAAGTTCGGTTACAAGTAAGTAGTCTGACCGATGCTTTGTGGCTATGACTGACCAATTCAGCACCATGGACAATGGTTTCCTTCTGTTCAACAAGGTCAAGATTCCTCACATCAACATGCTGGCCCGCTTCTCGCGCATTAACAAGGACACCAACGAGTACATGCGTCCTGCGTCGCCGTCTCTCATCTATGGCACTCTGACCTGGGTGCGCTCCAACATCGTGCTGCAGGCCGGTGGTGTCCTGGCACGTGGTGTGACCATTGCCACTCGCTACTGCGCCGTACGCAGGCAGTTCCAGGACCGTGATGCCACAGGCAATGTGGGCGAGAACCAGGTGCTGAACTACAAGATGGTGCAGGTCCGGCTGTTGCCCCTGCTGGCATCTATGTATGCTCTGCACTTCACCGGCCGCGGAATGATGCGGCTCTACCAGGAGAACCAGAACCGTATGAAGGCAGCCGCCCAGGCCGCCCAGGAGAAGCGGGGTGCTGGACCGGAGGAACTGCGGGCTGGTGCCGATCTCTTGGCTGATCTGCATGCTACTTCGTGTGGTCTCAAGGCCCTGGCGAGTACGACGGCAGGTGAAGGTCTCGAAGTGTGCCGTCGTGCTTGTGGTGGACACGGTTACAGCAGCTACAGCGGCATCGGGCCGTGGTACTCGGACTACCTGCCCACGCTCACCTGGGAGGGTGACAACTACATGTTGACACAGCAGGTGGCGAGATACGTAAGTCACCTGCTTCCTGGAATACTTTCTATAACTAACGTGCATAGCTTCTGAAATCTGCCCGCGCCGTCCTTGCCGGCAAGGGATCCAACAACGACACATCCCGCATCCTGCAGGCATACCTCTCGCGCCGCGACAAGGGCGCCTCGTTCGATATCCTCGGCAATGACAGTGACATTGTGGCTGCCTTTGCCTGGCGGACGGCTCACCTCACATTCGAGGCGCTGAAGCACCGTGATGCTGAGAAGCGGTCCTGGAACAGCCTGCTGGTCGACTTCTGGCGCCTGTCCACGGCTCACTCGCAGTACCTGGTGGTGAAGAACTTCTACGAGGCGGTGACCTCTCCCCAGGTTACCGGGGCATTGGACCCCGAGACCACGGGCATCCTGCACAAGCTGTTCCGTCTGTACGCTCTGCACACGCTGGAGCGTGAGGCATCCGAGTTCTTCTCGTCCAGCGCGGTGACCGTGCGACAGATCGGCCTGACGCAGACCAATGCGGTGATGAAGCTGCTGGACGAGATCCGCCCGCATGCGGTGCGCCTGGTGGACTCGTGGAAGATCCCCGACTGGCAGCTGGACAGCAGTCTGGGCAAGTATGATGGTGAAGTGTACCCAGATCTCTTCCGGCGGGCTAGCCAGGAGAACCCGGTCAATGATCTGGTGTTTGATCCGTACCCGTGGAATGCGGCGGTGCTGAAGAACGAGCGGCCAAGCAAGCTTTGAGTTCCTTTCTTGGATTCGATGTTATTATTATGTGCATAATGTGGTGGACAGAATAGATATAGACTAGAAGATCTATAGACTACAATGGACATACATGGAAGGTTTTGATAAACATTAGCAATCACCAGCAGCACGGGCCAACGGGTTCGGAAGTCCTTCTATCCGGCATTCTTCAGCTCTAATTTTCTGGAATGCCGAGCCCGAGTCATGAAACTCAACATTCAACAACTCATGACATCAGGTATCCCCACCCTGCTTAATAATGTTCTTCACTTCCCCGGAGCTTAGCACTAGACAGCACCCCTGTCTATACTAGCCTCTATATATGTATACCCTATCCACCAATTTCCATACCAATTGAGTGTATCCCTTATCCCTACATCCAACTATCAAAATGAAGGAAATCATCAACCTCCCTGGTCCGAGCACCAAGCTCATCGACTCCCCCATCCCCAGCATCAACGATGACCAAGTCCTGATCAAGGTGGTCGTATCCGGCTCCAACCCCAAGGACTGGAAGGTCGCCGAATTGGCCAATGACCCGAACAGCTTTCTCTACTCCCGGTATGAACATGTACGTGAAGGCGTGAACCAGGGCGATGATATCGCCGGTGTGGTTGAGAAGGTGGGAAAGAACGTGGTGGAATTCAAGGTATACCTTACCCAACTTGTGCCATGTCGTATGCGCATGCTTAATGAATATAGGAAGGCGACCGTGTCGCCGCATTCCACGAGATGCTGAAGCCCGGTGGCTCATACGCCGAGTACGCCGTGGCCTGGGCACACACCACCTTCCACCTGCCGGAGAGCGTTTCCTTCGAGGGTACCATCCCCATCCCCATCCCATCCACAGAACAATACTAACCACCCTGCCACCCACAGAAGCTGCAACCATCCCCCTCGCAGCCCTAACAGCCGTAATATCCCTCCATCACCACCACGCCCTGCCCACCCCATGGTCCCCACCCAGCGCCACGACCACCCCGACCCCCTTCGTCATCTACGGCGGCAGCACAGCCGTGGGCGCCTTTGCGATCAAGCTCCTCCGCGCCAGCAACATCCACCCGATCATCGCCATCGCCGGCAGCGGGTCCCCCTACGTACAATCCCTACTCGACCCCAGCAAAGGCGACACGGTGATCGACTACCGCCCAGGCACCGACTCCACTATCGCCTCTATCAAATCCCTGAACCTGAACATAAAAAACGCCCTCGACACCATCGTCGATGCTACTAGCGCGCACGTCCTCACTCAGGTAGTCACGCCCGGCGGACAAGTGGACCATGTCCTTCCCCGGGATCCCAAGGATCTCCCCGGGTTATTGTCGACGAATACGTGGGTGAATGCGGCGCATGAGACGGCCAATGGGGTGGATGATTGTCGGGATCTGTGTTATGTGTTTTGTCGGTGGTTTAGTCGCACGTTGAAGGATGGGCGGTTCAAGGGTCATCCGTGGCAGGTTAGGGAGGGTGGGTTGGAGGGTGTGAAGGGCGCGATGAAGGATTTGATGGATGGGAAGGCCAGTGCGGTGAAGTATGTTTTTAGGATTGCGGAGACGCCGGGGTTGTAGGATTGCTGTTGCGGGGCGATGTTATTACCTAGATTGTATGGGAATAACTAGTGAGTGGGGAAGATAGGTGTATGATATGTCCCTTCTATATCCGTTCTATCTTAGAACAGCGTGGAGTTATCTGGCCATTATTATAGATTGTATAAGGTTAAATGGCATATGAAGACAAGTGAGATGGTTGAATCAGGCATGTCATGTCTATTCTATGTACAGTCTATTAAGCATCACCACTATATATCATCTAAGCATCAAAAATCGAAGGCTTGTAAACGCTGGGATCAATGAACTCGCGACCACCGCGACGAGTGAATCCCCAACGGATCTGGCTCGCCATGGAGATCTCAGTGTCGAGGTGCTGGGCAAAAGTCCAGGTCAAACCGGGGTCCTTCTGGAATCCACGACCGACCAGAGCAACATCCAGACCCTCCTTCTCAAGCAAGTCATTAGCCTGGCGACCGTTGGTGATAGCACCGACAGCCGACACCAACAGCTTATCGCCGACAGCCTGCTTAACAGCCACAGCGAAGGGAGCCTGGAACAGCGGGCCAGACTTGACCTTCTGAGCGGCGTGAACGCCACCAGTACTGATATCAATCAGATCAATAGCACCCTGGTCGGCCAGCGCCTTGGCGAACTTGACAGTGTCCTCGGTACCCCAGCTCTGCTCGGGGAGAGTCTCTTCGAGCCAGTCGGAAGCGGAGACACGGAGGAAGACAGGCATGTTAGGGCCGACGATGTCCCGAGTGATCTGGGCGATCTCAAGAGGCAGACGGATACGGTTCTCGAAGGAACCGCCGTACTCGTCGGTACGGTTGTTGGCAGCAGGCGACAAGAAAGAGGAGATGAGGTAACCGTGAGCACCGTGGATTTCAATGAAGTCAACGCCGACCTCAATAGCACGCTTCACAGCAGCGGCCCAGTCGTTCTTGAACTGCACGATATCGTCCTTGGTCATGGCCTTGGGCTTGGGGAAAGAGTCAGCGAAGGGGATATCGCTGGGGCCGATAACACGGTCGGGCCAGCCGCCGAGCTCCTCAGTAGCCATGGCGGTAGCGGAGATCCAGGGGGCGACGGTGCTGGCCTTGCGACCGGCGTGGGCGAGCTGAACACCGATCTTCTGGCTCTGGGAGTGGGCGAACTCGACGACTTGACGCATAGGGCCGATCTGAGAGTCCTTCCACAGACCGACGTCCTGGGGAGTGATGCGGCCTTCGGGCTGCACGGCGGTGGCTTCGATCATCATGAGACCGGGACCGCGCTGGGCGATACCGCCCAGGTGGGCGATGTGGTAGGGGGTCATGTGGCCATCTTGGGCGGAGTATTGGCAGAGAGGAGCGAGCTAATACCAGTTGTTAGTTGATTTTTATGAAATATGATGATACTGAGGAATTGGGTACATACACCAAGGCGGTTCTGGAAGGTGACGCCGCGGATGGTGAGCGGGTGGAAGAGCTTCGGGACCGGCTTGCCGCTGGTTTGCGGGTTGGCGGCGGTACCAGCGGGGGGGTTCTGGGCGGGAGTGAAGTAGGAGATGCCCTGAGCAGGGTGGTTGACGAGGTCGGTGACAGTCATGATGGCGTGAAGGATAATATTATTAGAGGGGATACGTAGTAAGGTATAGACACAAGGATGGGATAGTAGATGGAGACTCAATTGAGAGAAATACCGCTTTTATACGGTCCCATGGGGAATAGAAGCGAGTGGAAATTGATTTGAAATCCAAAAAGTGGAGGTATACTGATTAAGGTGGCATCGACAAGAATCTGCATCTTTGCCGCATCGGGCGAAGTCTCCGATTAATGGTCTGACTTTTTCTGGGTCTCCAAATTGTGGCTTCAATGGCATGGAAGCTTCGCGGGGATCCTCAGCCTCTAACTGGCTTTAAGCCAAGTTGGTTATGCCCCACTATCATCCACCCATTCGGCAAATCATCATCGTGGATCCAACGGGAATTATTCAGCATCCGGAGGAAAATTGCCCCAATGTCTCCGAAATATGTCCCCACGACTCGGAAAGAAGGCCGAACAAGGGGTAAAGGGATGAGAAAAGCATGAATTTGTATGACCAACGGATTGGAAATCTAATGGGAGGGGGTCTGTGTGGGCTTTATGCCACTTCAGGGATTCGCCCTGGTCAGAAGTTTATTTTCACCACGTGTGGGATTTGACCCCAAGTGTCTTTTTAGGCTAGAGGATGCGGCTGTAAGCGCTATGGCTTGTCGCTAGTGCCGTGGTCAATCGGTATTTTCTCGGGCGGATGGTGTGTATAGCAGTGCCCTGCAATGCATCCTGTTTACATTCTTGATGGATGGGCAGTTTCTTGGTTTATTCCTATCTTTCACCTTGTCGGAGAATATTTCTGTTGAATATAAAAAAAACAAAGCGCATCACATTATGTATTAGAAGGTGGTTATGGTATATTCAGCGACATGATCATTCCGTTGCTTCATCTTCGACTCTGCTCATCAAACAGATGACAAATATGTTTTAGTATCACATGTATATACGTTGACTGACTCCACATCAATGTCGTCTATTTTCCTTCAGCTAATCTCAGAAAATAACCGCAGATACTTTTAGTAATTCCTTACCCAATACATTAGTGGACAAGGCTACCCCGCAGTGAGCTACTAAGCATTTGGACGAACATTCTGGAGGAAGCGATGGAAATGCCGTGTATAACCGTCGTCCCTTCGTCCTTGCGCTGCCTGTTGAGTACTGTCTAATATAGCCAGAACAAATAAAACTAAATCAATGAAGCAGGCGCTATAGTGTAGCTTAGAAACCCTCTTATAGTACTAGCCCTAACCCGTTGCCTTCCTCCCAGCGAACGATCAGAGATATTTGATACAGCTTCTATTACAGCCATTGCCGGGTATAGTAAATAAGCAAATCCTATGGATATATGTAATGGCACATATTCTGCGTGCATTTCTGCTGCTGGAAAAGATGTTCTGAAGAGTTATAGTTCTCAATACCGCCCACAAACAATGGCCACGCTCGCGACTGTGGACAGACAGGTTCTGTGTGAGATTACAACTGGGGTGGTATTTTAATGCGATCGAAGTTTCTACTGACCATAAAGATTTCATTGATCTATCTGACTTAATTACTACTATCAATGAATCCCAGTATAGAGCACCTTCCCGGATGAGTTCCGTCCATAGTCTAATTTGTCCCTTCTACATGATGAGCGTTCAAGATATACTTTGAGATTCGACACCATCAACACCCCCTCTTCTCACCGCCCAGCTACTAAGTGCACTTCTATACATATTAGTATACTCAGTATCATGACAAAGAGAATAAATCATTTTTTCTATGTCTGTCTGTGGCTATGTATGAACTGACAGGAATCTAATCCGCCTAATGTACAGAGATGGTCTACTTAGCCTCCCGTAGCAGCTGTTTGGGTGAGGGCATCACCACCACCTCGTCAACCTTTCCAACCTACAGGCCGTTTCTCCCACTTTTCAACAGGCTCCTTCCCCGAGACCAATGAGATTGCGATATTGGCCTCTCTCGGGAGCAAATTATGTCTAATACCCGATCCTCAACGGGTGCTTCATTGCCCGACGTTTCCCCTCCGCGAAATCCTAAAAGGCGACGGGCGCGCCACAACAAATCCCGCAAAGGTTGTTACACCTGCAAGATCCGCCGGGTCAAGGTTTGTATAAGCGCCACGCAGAGAGTTTAGCTGCGATGTTGACCGCTTCCAGTGTGATGAAGTAAGACCGGTTTGTGGCGCGTGTTCTTTTCGCGACGAACCATGCTCATTTCCGCCACTAGATGAGCATGTAATGTAGGCAACCAAACCTCACGTCAATGGGGACGACGTTATGTGGCCGTTGGCCCCTTTTCAGCTCCAATATCTGACCTACAAATTAACAGGCCCACAAGTGCAGGGCGCGCTCGTCGCCTTGCGAGCAACAATGTAGGGCAGCCATTACGGCCGTTAGATCTGCACATACCACCGCTGTCTGAACCAGCGGAGGTCTCTCATCACAACGAGAGACTTGACATGCCAGACATGAGTCTCTTGACGCATTTCATGGTCCATGTCTCTGGCAGAATGGCTCTCCATCCGGAGCGAAAATTGATCTGGCAGCGAGTCATCCCAACCCTGGCTGCAGAAGAAGAGTATCTGATGCATCTTCTCCTTGCGCTGGCCGGCACGCATGCACTATGCGAGGAAGACTCACCCGAAACGAATTCATTGAACCCAAATATTGACCCGAATATCGACAACAACCCTGAGGCAAATTCTTTTCGTGATTATTACCGGATCCTCGATCACCACCAGAAAGGCCTTGAAGGCTTCCGACACGCATTATCAGAAGCGACAGCTAGTACAGCCGAATACATCTTCTGTGGCTCCCTCCTAATTGTCGCCTTTGCCTTTGCTTCCTTGCGCATTCGCGCCTTAGGTGATAAGGGGATGGGCTTCCACAATGGTGACTCAGCCGGAGAACCCTGGATTGACTGGCTGCACCTAGTCCGCGGCTTGGGAGCCTTCGTAGGAGAGCACTATGCCGTCCTTCGGATCAGCAGATTACGGACAATAATGAATTATTCTCACGCAAATGAGCACTGGAAGGACTTTCCGGCCACATCACCAACACCGGTGTTTCCACGTCTACAAGGCGCCCCCCCTCGATTTATCCGCTTCTCCCAAGGCGCCGCTCAGCAGATTTCCTTATTGCGTGCCTTCGCAAACACTCTTACCCAGGACCATGGGATTAACATGGAAGACACTCCAAGCCCAGATTCCTATGGATCTCCCGACACCCAAACGATCCTAGAACTTCTACGCGAACAGATCAGCACGATCGATCGTCTTGAGGACATGTACATGCGCATTCTCTACGTCTTTCGGTTCGCAACTAGTGAGCGCGATAGCACCGTCTCAATAGATATTCAGACCGATCTCGAAGATGCCGCTGTCCTGTCGTGGCCGCATCTCATATCACAATCGTTTATTTTGTCGATACAGCAGGGACAGGATGCTGGTATTTTCGAAGGCTTTTCATATGTGATCCTGGCACATTTCTACGTGATGTTGCTTCTATTTGAGGATTTGTGGTATCTACGAGGGACGTTTCCAAGAGAGATCCGGAACACCCATATGCTGGTTGTGAAACTGGGAGACGGGGCGCTGATGCCCCTGATGCAGTGGCCAATGGCAATGCAGGAGGAGTAACGTCATACCAATGTACTGCTTTAATGAACATCTCAATTGATAATAACAAACTATCTAAATAGCACAATTATACACCTCAAACTCCATAACCCCAACCCTTTCATCCAAAGTATATACTCATCCCAAATTCAAATCCTAAACAGCCACCTTCCCACCCCTCAAAAATCTCTCCTCCGAATCCGCCCTATCCTCCAAAGGCACACCCCCATCCCTCCTCTTTCCCCCTCCCAGCACCCGCCCAGGATACCCAACCAACAACAAGATCGCCTGCAGGGCCATCAACACCGCATCAAAGATATACAACAAATACTCGAGGTGCATAACAAATCCATCGTTTCCCTCCACAAATTCAACGACACGATATATCGACCGAATGAGAATAAGCACGCACGCCCCGTAAATACACCACAGCATGCACTCCCACGAGTCGCGACGGGAGGAGGATGCCACTTGTCTGGTGGTGTAGTATTGCGGATTCTTCTTAACGCGGTAGTGGAAGATAGCGCTAGCGATAATGAAGAACCCGAAGAAAAGGAGTTGCACGGCTAGACCGCCTATGACGATGTGCGCGCCGTCTTCCATGGCGGAGAGGCTGCCGGCGGACATGTAGCCACCACCTGCAATAAAAATATCTTATTAGAGGGGATCTCGGTAGGACTATGATGATGTAGTAGGGTAAAGGTACCTCCACATTGCAAGAGAAAGGAGATAATATCTCCCACGACGAATATCTTAGCGATATATTTCACGCGAAGGAGAGAGGCGGATTCGGCGTCGAGGTAGAGGATCAATCTTCCGAGGGTCATGTAGATGGAGGCAGCGAAGAGCGGAGGCGCGACGAGGATAAGCATGGTCTGAACGATGTAGGGGCCGAGAGCGAGGGGGTCATTGTGGGAAAAAATTCGGGCGATGTAGCCAGCTGCTTCGACTGTTCATACCGTGATCAGTTAATTTGATGGGCTTGCACATGCTGGAGAATGTACTTACAAAGTAGACCGATAATAAAAGGAATGAAGTATTTAGACCGGTACCTAAAAGCCATATAGGTGTGAACTATGGCCAGGATGATGAAAACAGCAGTGAAAATGGCAGCGGCTGGTATCGACGGAGTGTATCGATAGAGTACGAAGGATATATTGGAGTCATTTTGGGAGGCCATTTTGGGTATAGCAGGGGTAAGGAATGAAGAAGAGATTTGAGACTGTAGCACTAGATGAGATGAGATTAATATAAGGGTATCAAAATCGCTGCATTGGACCCTGAGATCCTTCGAGCCTTAGCATATACGAATACGTGTGGGTCCGCGGAGAGATCGAGCGGACCGCCACGCCCTAACCGCTGGGAACCAAGGGACCAACATCTAGATTTTTACTCGCAGAGGGGATAGGCTACACAGTTTCCAGGAAATGCCTGGTACACACGGCGAATTGATAGGTTAAATATGTCCTGAGATAATAAGATTGCCGTTTGGGGGTGATAGCCGTAACGGCCACATCCCAACACGTGGACTTTCAGTCCGAGGACCCGATGGCACGATAAATACATGAAGATAATGGAATGGAAACCTGCGTTGGTAGATTAGATTAATATAGAGATTGGAGATATCCTCAGTATGGACTTTGTCTGATAATCCTCACCCAACAAAACATTGTGATACTGACAGACCGAGGCCTTGAATATTGAAGAAGGCCTAGCCATCGAGGCACTCATATTCAATCCAGACTTTGATGGGAAAAGTTTTCTCACATATCTACGTTGTCGAACACTTTGCCATATCCAGTAATTAGATGATGTTTGTAGCGCAGACCAGGCCTCGATCCCAGGTCCCCCGCAGAAAAGGCTGCAATCGCCCTTCCTCGAAAACCATAACTGCTCAACCTAGCAACCCCCATTGATATCAAGTACCTGTATTCCATTAAGGTCACCAATCACATACGTTGCCCTGGATAGACTGCCTGAAAATCAAGCTTAAATGTCTAAAACTGGAAACGGAGTGTCTCCGGAGTGGGGCTGCTCTATGCGAACTATACGGATTTACGAGCCTCCCTCCCGAGTATACGAACATACGAAGGTGGCAGAATGCACGGCGCTCCACCAAGCAAACCCACCACGTCTTCCTAATGATCGCAAGTAGCTGCTGAAGAAAAGGTTATTTTTTTCTTTGAAAGATATCACTTGCTAGTTAAAGTGAAGTGCCTTAGCCAGGGCATAGGCCTAGAGTGTGGGGATTCTCGTGGGGCTGAAATTCTGTGTTTGTCAGAGGATTGGTACAATCCCGTTTGGAGAATATTCTGCTTTCGACAATATACCCAATTTCCTCGGCGAGTCGAGGTCAAAAAGCTAAATAACTAGGAGATATATAGCACCATTTGTGGTTCCAGGATAGTTCGCATCGTCTCGGGGTCGCAATATTCATCATGTGAAAAATAGCCGCACACGAATCCGTCAGGCATTGCTGGAATACATCTTGTAGCACCCAAATCACCATTGGCACCTTCTGACATCCCAATGCCAAAAATTGTGGCTCATGAGAGTCAACATGAGATATTCCGTTATCTGTAATTGTTATGAGGTTGATTGGAGGTGGACCAGGCCATCAACAGCACCACACCATTTCCCCCTTGCGCTAAATTATAGGCTAAGGCAAAGAATCAATGATCAGTGGATATCTGCCATGCCACACAAGCGACAAGCGATTTCTCTTAGATCACAGCAACCCATAGTAATCTCGACCGTCCGCCCCCCACCCAAATCACTTTACGTGAGTACAGGTCAGCAAAAATAGCTAGTTAGCTTATGGTAGTGTCACGTCTACTTTATCACTTGGAAGGATGGCATAATGTCTGATCAAATGTGGGTTTCATACTCTTTCTAGAAGTCAAAAAAAAGGTGCACGATGGACATAGCTAGATTCTGGTAGGAAGTGGAATATAATCAAACTTCCGTCCACGACTTACTGGGAGCATATTCAAGCCTGACCTGAACAAGTGCAAACGGCACCTACTGTAATGGTTCGTTGGCTATTCACTATTGGAGATGACACAGTAAATTGACAAATAAATCACTAGCTCTAGATATCATCGATTTATGGGACTCGGCGTCTGACTTGAGCGATGTACCCAGGTCAGATATTTGTGATGATTGCTGGATTGGGAAGTTGAAAATGATGCAACAGTCCCCGTATTCGGCTTACAACGAGCCTTATGAGACTATGCTCAATTATTCGATTTCAGGTAACTCCATCCTATCACCTTACAGAAGTTGACAGCTGAAAGGGTGTGGACGACTGACAAAATTTATGATTTACCCATAGTCTGCAACCTTACGGGTGTGAGAACAGAACCGACTGCTGGAGGCATTGCTATACCTGCAGCCGACCCCACTTGCTCAACAGATACTTGGTATACGGTTCAACAAGGAGAAAAATGTGATTCTATCGCCATAGCGTATTCTTTCTCCTCCTCAACCCTGTATCAAATGAATCCGACTTTGTACAACTGCAGTGATCCAACCGTGGGGCTCGACCTGTGCCTACCATTAGCATGCGGGTACATCTACCAGGTTACTGCAGCTGACAATTACTCCACTATTGCTGCTACCGTTGGAACGTCGTGGATGAAGCTTGTACCATAAAATGGCATGGTCGAGAGCGATTGCTCAAATATAGCCGATACAGCACTGCTAGGTGGAGTGAGATGTGTTTCTCCTCCCGGAGGAGCTTTCAATTTTACAGTTTCGTCCAATTCGAGCTCAGAGTCAAGCATGAATGCGCAGGGAGGATCTGGGACAGGCTATGGTACCAGTTTCGTTGCTTTTCCAAATGATATCACGCTAGCTGATGGAACTACCACCGACTGTGGCCAACATTATACCGTTGTATCGGGTGACAGTTGTGTATCGGTCTTGGCCCAGGCAAATACGCCGTTCAACTTGGTCATGGCTGCGAATCCTTCCATCACATCCGCGGCGGCCTGTGACGGAGAACTGAAAGTTGGAGTTACATATTGTATTTACCCTATGAGTGGCTTCAATGCGACAGACATAAATGGCAACTTGACCATTTCGACGAATGGACTATGTGGCAATGGCACCACCTGTCTGGGATCATCGTTCGGAGACTGCTGTTCTATCTCCGGGTATTGTGGCAGCACCGCAGACTATTGCACGGCCGGTCTCTGCGATTCTTCCTACGGCCGATGTGTTTCAGGCAACCCTATCTCCCTAGATGGTCTTTGTGCGTCGCGGTCATCAACCAATGCGACATGTGTCGGAAGCCAGTTTGGGTCTTGTTGCTCGCTTGATGGATATTGTGGTGAGACATCTGACTACTGTACCTACAAGTCATGCCAGAGTGCATTCGGAAACTGTGAGGAAGCACCCCCGGTCAGTTCTGACGGATTATGTGGTGTCCTCTCTTCGGTCAACGCCACTTGCGCTGGTAGTTCGTTCGGGGACTGTTGTTCGATCAACGGATACTGTGGGAGCACGTCTGACTACTGTGCCTATAACAGCTGCCAAGCAGCATTTGGTACTTGCGAACTTGCGATGCTGGACCTACCATCAGTTCGGATGGCCTGTGTGGAGCAATGTCTTCTTCTAATGCAATTTGTGCGGCTAGCGCTTTCGGGGACTGCTGTTCAGTTAATGTTACTGTGGAAGCACTGACGATTACTGCGGCATTGGGTCCTGTGACTCCTCATTTGGCACTTGTGACACGGTTACTGTGAGTCCAGATGGACTCTGTGGTTCTATGTCTTCCGTCAACGCAAACTGTGTAGGCAGCCAATTTGGGGATTGTTGCTCCAAGAGCGGCTATTGTGGCAGCTCAGACGCATACTGCGGGATCGGCCAATGTCAATCTGCCTTTGGTAGCTGCGATAAACAGCCGATTAGCACCGATGGACTCTGCGGTTTTATGTCCTCAAATAGTGCAACTTGTCTGGGCAGTCAGTTCGGGGATTGCTGTTCGGTGAACGGATATTGTGGCGGCTCAGATGCTTACTGCGCAACGGCGAATTGTTTGTCAGATTACGGCAGCTGTTCATCTTAAGCGAAACAAAACCCATACGACAGATAATTTACCATTCTTTTTACAGAAGCTGGGTTATCAGCCAGGGACTTTTTTCCAAAAAGACAAGCTGTTTTGTGCTGAATAGTATGCAGCAATTCATTACGTTGCGCTGGGCAGACCGTAAATTACATACAGAATACGTAACATACTGTACTACACGTATCATTTCTGCTCGCCAAGTATTATCCTAGTACTCCACATGATTTTTTTTACTAGAGCAGCGCGAATCCTTTTATTTGCATTCTTCCCTCATTCAATATTCCCTGAACCCTCTAACAGCCATGGCGTGCTACCCAAGAATCCCATACCCCATTAATTCGAATGTCAACTCTCAATTAATAGGATGGACTCGTGTGGGCAACCTTACCGCCGTTACTGCGATCCTCGATTCCCCAGAAGCAGTGGACCTGCCGAGGTCTGGTGAAACAGCGCTCCATGAAGCCATTAAGAGCAACCGGCCAGACTTCCTTCGTTATCTGATTCCGCGCGGGTTCGATGTCAATCAGAAGGGCATTGAGCCGTATGGTGAAGTTTGTCTGACTCCCTTACATCTTGTCGCCGCAAGCAACTCTGCCGAGATGGTGGATATTCTCCTCAACGCGGGAGCAGATGCGACCCTGGATGATGTTTCAGCGGACGGAATGCGTGGCGTTCTTGGGGATATGGATAGCGAGCCGCAGACCCCATTTATGGCCGCAGCCTTCTGGGGCTCTCGTGCTGTCGTTCAAGGCTGATTGAACGCCTACCTTCAGATGCCATTGGCAGCCGCGAATGGCCTCTTGCCGTCACTGCTGCTGCACTTTATCGTCATCCGAAAACACTGGACGTTCTGCTCCATAACTACCCCGCTCCTGGAGTACCACAAGATATCCTGGACCGCGATTTGGCTGATGCTGCTGAAAATGAAGAGTATGACCCTTACCATGGGATAATACCGGCCCTACCAGAGGAATCCTGGTCCAGGGGGATCGAGACGTTCCGGCTTTTACTTGCCCGTGGAGCCCGCCCGAACGCACAGCCCCCTGTGTCCATCTATGCATCTCCTTGGACTGAGCACAAACCGATTATCCACACAACCATTGACACTTCAATGGGCTTGGCTATGGTTAAGATGCTTGTTGACCACGACGTGGACCTTCCTGACGGCTCTGGCGGTGGAGCAGGGGGTATTAGCCTATTTGCTCGGGCGGTGCGCAATGGTGACCCGGATCTGATCCGTTATTTCTATGAGCGTGAAGGCGCCATAATAGACATGAACGAAGAGCTCCCCGAGACAAATGACTCCCCTGGGGGTTCCCTGCTTCATGCCGCAGCGGGGGGCGGTCGTTTAGCAACTGTGCAGTTCCTGCTGGATCACGGAGCAGACCCCAGTATGATGAACACCAAAGGCTGGCTACCAGTCCACCAAGCCTGTCATGGTCGCCATCTAGATATCATCAAACTCCTCTGGCCGTTCACCTGCCCGGCTGACGTCGCGGATCTTACTAATTATCGAACGAAGGACGGCCATATCGCTTTTCACCTCACCAATTGTTGGCTCATTGATGACGAGGATCAAGAAGTCAAGGCACATAGCACGCGCCTCCTTCACTTCTTTGTGGAAAAGGGCACTGACCTGAGCAGTCTTGATCGCTATGGAAAAAACATGCTTCACTACACACTCCCACAAAATGAAAACATGTTCCCATGGTTTCGCACCCTGATGCAGGCGGGCGCGCAGTGCGGCCCAATGCCGAAGGCCAGACAGAACTTCATCTTATTCTTGACAACCCAGACAGAGACCTGGTTGGACCTCGGTTTCTTTTGGCTCAGGGTGCTGACAAGGACATCAATTCACAGGATAACAAGGGCCGCACTCCACTTTATTACTACATACAGACACACTATTATCAACCGGGAAACCAGCCAGCCACCTTTCAAATCCGCGCGGTTGTTTTGGATCTCTTGATGGAGGCAGGTGCTGATCCAGATATCCGTGCCGATTCTGGCAAGTCTTCGAGGGATCTCCTAATTGAGAAGGGCTTTCCGTATGATTTTGATAAATGAGAAGCTCTGATATAATATTGAATTGAGCACTCTTTCTTGCTTCATGCACTTTGGTCAACACCTAAAAATCCTCTTTGATCCAACCTCTGTATAACACACCTCACTCCTCGACCTTCATCCCCAGCGCAAAAAGGAACAGCACAGTAACCGTGACGCTAAAACACCCACATTAAGAACATAACATTCTATCTCGGATGAGTCGGACATGCAGGCTTGCGGATGCACGCAGGTCCCCGAATCACTGGCTGGTAGATCCGCAGAATGTTGGCCAAAACTCAACGGTTCCCATTCCCCGGAGACCTGCCCCGCAGGGTCACCGACAGCCCCAATCAATGTCGCATGAGGCCAAGATTATGAGTATATAGGAGCTTTCTATGATCTTTCGGTCAATGCTTGTACGCTATATGCTATATCAGTCCCCCTTTTTGATATATCCCTGAGGTATCATGTGAAACTTGTGGCATGAAATAGTTCTCTCTGGCTCACTAATGCTACCACCTGCTTGTTATGCACCGTAGGCTGGCTATGGGAAGAGGAAGGCCGGAACAAATTCGTCGCGATATGCTTACTACGGAGTATTATCATCTACATAGATAGTCTCTTGATTGATTAAATATTCACCTCCGCGCTGGAGACTTATAGCAAACTTCTAGGTGAATGGAAGAGCTTCCTTTAAGCCCCCGGCAGGTATTCCTTCTTCAAAGGAGCCAATCCAACACGGATATCATATGTCTCCGGGTCAAAAGATGCAAAGTCGAAAACAGCATAGAAGTTGCTTAACCAATGCTGGCCAATGATTGTGTTGTAGCTGTCCCACGGATTGAAAGGCGGGAAGCAATGGTCGTCGTCCTGATACCCTGGTACAGCCAGCTGATCACCGGTCAAGTTGAATGTAACACCCTCGCCGTAGAAGCCCATGGTAAAAGAGATCGACCATGTATCGTTGAAATCGGAGCACAGAGGTCGGTATCCGGATGAGATATCGGCGTAAGAAAACGGGGTGAGGGCATACATCGCCTCAATCTGGTCATTGGGGATGCTTATCGCGGAAGCGCCTACGCCGTTAAATAGATTAGTCCCATCTTTCAGAAGGTATAATAGTGTCGTAGGGGAGATCATACCGGTGTCGAATATAACCTGGCCGTACCAGTTCAGGACTTCGCTTGACATGTTCTGGCCATTGGAGATGTTGTGTCCCTGAATGCCAAGGAGGTTCGTTTTATAGATTTCGAACGGGGAGAGCATAGTCATCCACTGCAGATCACCATCCGCATAGATATCCTCATGGCTACCACCGAAAGTAAACATGCCGTTATTCTCCGGATCAGGATTCGACGTGGTCGACACCCCGGAACCTGCGTATAGGGCAAATCGAGGTTCGTCCAAAAGCCCATCCTGCATCATTTGTTCGAAGGCGGACGTGGTATTTTTGAAAGCGAAGGTGGAGGATGCCAATCCGATGAACCCATCAGCTGCCAATGCCGCCCAGGTACTGTCGGTGATGACCGCAAAGCTTTGGCGATAGGAGACATTGGTGTCGGGCACAGTAAGGATATCTGTGGCAGTAAAGCCGCTGACGGTGCCTCCGCTATAATCAATGCTGTCTTGGATACCCAAGTCGGCGCCCGTAGAAGTGAGATTATAGCTGTGTCGAGAGTAGCTGGTAGACGTCAGTAATATAGTCGTGAAATAAGGGGGAGTGATGAACTAACCCGCTCACATTCACACAATCATCTGTACAATTGCTATCGAGCACCCAGAGCGTTGATGATCCAGTGTCATACATCAAATCAAACGGGCCTCCCGGGGTTCCGAGGTCAACCTCGATGGTTCTCTAATTCCACGAGTTAGCAAACAAATTTTAGGGAGCTAGACTTCACATACATAACCATTTCGGACCTTAATATCGAGGTCCAATACATTCCCCAGAGCGGCCGTGGCCAATGCCGGAATGAGTAGCAGGGTCTTAGACGCCATACTGAATAATCAATTCGTGCGAGTTTAAGAAGGAAAATAATGGCGCGAATGACTCTATTTAAGCACACTAACTAACGCCTCCCTGAAGATCGAAATGCCAAGCCTAAAAGAATAATCCGAGACAAGTGATATGTGGTGGAAACTAGCGGGCCGGAACAACCGATGCTGTTGGACGAATGAGATACCCAGTGAGACACCCAGTTTCATCCTAGCCTTATTTTGTTCAAGCCCTCAAGACATCCACTAACCTTCTATGTACGGAATCCGACCTAAGGCATGATATGCTAAAATAGTCCTAGCTAATAGTCGGACATGTCTCACTGCTCAAGAAAATTCGGTCTGATATTGGGACAGTCTTGTATAAGAACGGCCAGTTTTGGAGGTACCGCTGTAAGCCAGTCCTATTGTGCTCTAGTTCCTGATGTCTTTTCGGGGTATCCGCCTCTGCGGATCAGGATCGAGATACTTATTGAACACCACGAAAGCAACAAAAGCCTGGTCGGTACAGAACTGGTTTGTAACCTGTCATCATTCTATCGTTTCTGATTGCATCAACCCTGCCTCTTGAGCCAGAAGTCACGTGACGGGAATGTAGCTATAAGCCCCACAATTTGGCAAGGCTTGTTCATCCTCCTGAAAGTTAAGGTGTTATTAAGATATAGATTAGAAGTAATAAAGAGTCGGAGCTGGAAAGAAGACAACGAACGTAATATATATAGCGCGAACATGGACAGATTGGATAACGACCAAGATGTAGCAGTAATGCCACAACTCTCACACATTATTGTACCCTTGGTAGGGCTTTGGGGTCTGTTCTTCTGAGAAAGACGACATGTCATAGTCATTGGGGTGACGGATTAGCTGGCCGATTTCTTGCGGATGGATTACGTTGAATATGACCATGGTGATGAACATCAACAGTGCATCGAAAATATAAAGAAAGGCTTCGTGGTGCAAGAGAAACCCATTATTTCCTTGAATGTACTCAATGAGTCGAAACATGGAACGGACCATGATAAAGAAGCTCGTCGAGTAGAGTACCTTCATGTGTTTCTTCCAAGGAATATGCGGAGAACAAGATCGAGGGAACGGATACTTCTTGACCTTGAAGTAGAAGTGGGTCGCGGTAATCATGAAAAATGCGAAGAAGAATATTTGAATTACGAGGCCGACAACGATGATGTGCTCGCCAGTCTTCATGGCGGATAGGTTGCCACTGGACTGGATTCCGCCGCCTGGACAGTGTCAGAGAGCTGTTAGATAATAAGAAATCTAATAAGGAGATACGTACCTGCTCCCTGCAATATAAATGAAAGCACATCGCCCGTTACAAATATCTTCGTCAACCACTTCTTTTTCAGCAGTGCGTGGGATTCAGCCTGCAACACTAGGATAATCCGACCGAGTAGCATGTATATAGAGGCTGCAAGGAGAGCAGGGGCGAGTAAGAGAAAGAGCGTCTGCACAATGTAAGGTCCGAGCGTCCAGTTTGGGCTTTGCTTGCTGGACATGGCACGTCCGATATATCCGATGATCTCAACTAGTAGGGTCAGCATGTTTCTAGGCGATGAACAGTCAAGAGTAGCATACATATACCGCCTATGATAAATGGGATGAAGAACCATGTGCGAGACTTGACCATTTGGAAGACATGATACCCTGTTGTGCCAATGAAGAGAAGGATGAAAAGAACGGCGCCACCCATGCTGGGATCATAGCGGTAGAATGCGAATTCATAACTTTCGGGATCTCTGGAGCCCAGCATTTTTGTAATGAACGAATAGTAATAGCAACCAAATACAGATAAATAAGATTGGAAAAAGAGTGTGGGAAAAAAAAATAAGATAAAAAAGTAGTGAGAGAAGGAGGACCTGTAAAGTCTTTCGAATGTCAAACGGAGAAAGCTTCTGTTATCGAGCTGGGTACTTATACTATCAGTCCAACGTACCATGGGGCTTCGAACAACAGACTAACAGAAAATGGAGCCGCACAGGTGAGGCTGAGGAAACGTTCTACAAGGAAAATTTTGTTGTCTATAGGATGATATTATGGGGCTACGGATACATTTACTGAGTACTACGGCCTTAGCATTGTTCGCCCAGCGAACGGGGTGGTTTATTCGGGTCTAGAAGTCGGTCGGATCAAGAAGCTTGAAACAGACGCTATTGTCTACAAAGTAGCTGCTATTGGATGTAAGCATCCTCTCCTGAATATTTGGTGACCACTTCGCCGATGATCCAAGATCTATAGTGGGGGTCCACTCGTATATTCGTTTAAGCCGGAGGACCCTTGTTTCTATTTTGGTTCGTTTTCGTTTTCGTTTCCGCCCAACTTAAAAATTTAACTATCTACCACGGACCAGAATCCGTGAAAAGTGCATAAAACCAGGAAGAATTTCTTCGTGTCCGAGATAATCTGAAATTTCCATTTATTGCAGAACAGTATATGCTCCTTGATTATATGTATGACAACTGCTGTTTCGAATTTATTGCTACCTTACAAGTATTCCACTGTTTGAAAACCGAAGGCACGAACGACACATTCTACTGCTCGCTCTGATAAATAAATTCTTAGATCAAATGGAATTGAGGTGTTCACTACGGTCACGACAATGTACGGATGGCGGTTTCCCTGATTATTCTTTATATCCATTGCTTGTCCTGTCGACAAACAGTCCCCCTTCGCTAACGCGGTCCGCTACTAACCACTAACCCTTTTGACATGAACGTCTCCTACCAACCCGCGCATTTCCCTAGCAGCATGATAACTCTTTCAACTATCGAAATAAAAGTCAAGTCGCTTATTCCCCTCGTCCGTGGTTGTCTCCAAGTAAGTCGCCTTCTCCTGGGCCGTCATCTTGTCCCACTGAGCTTTCTTCCACCGATTCCGAGAGACATAATAAAACTTGGCCAACGCGTACATGACAATAGTGGCAACATTGATCGCAATCAGCTGTCTATTTCCACGGCGATACAAAGGCTTATCATCCGATCGGTAGATGTTGGAGGAAGCGATACCAGACA